AGATTTGGTAGTCATTGAAAAGTGTTATCCTGAAAAGGACAGATTTGGTAGTCATTGAAAAGTGTTGTCCTGAAAAGGACAGATTTGGTAGTCATTGAAAAGTGTTGTCCTGAAAAGGACAGATTTGGTATCATTGAAAAGTGTTGTCCTGAAAAACGGACAGTTTTTGGTGGTCATTGAAAAGTGTTGTCCTGAAAAGGACAGATTTGGTAGTCATTGAAAAGTCCTGAAAAGGACAGATTTGAAAAAAGTGTTGTCCTGAAAAGGACAGGACAGATTTGGTAGTCATTGAAAAGTGTTGTCCTGAAAAGGACAGATTTGGTAGTCATTGAAAACAGATTTGTTATCCTTGAAAAGGATCCTGAAAAGGACAGATTTGGTAGTCATTGAAAAGTGTTGTCCTGAAAAGGACAGATTTGAGTAGTCATTGAAAAGTGTTATACTGAAAAGGACAGATTTGGTAGTCATTGAAAAGTGTTATCCTGAAAAGGACAGATTTGGTAGTCATTGAAAGTGTTGTCCTGAAAGGACAGATTTGGTACATTGAAAAGTTTGTCCTGAAAAGGACAGATTTGGTACTCATTGAAAAGTCCTAAAAGGACAGTTTTGAGTAGTCATTGAAAAGTGCCTGAAAAGGACGTTTGGTAGAAAAGTATTTGTCCTGAAAGGACAGATTTGCCATGAAAAGTTTGTCCTGAAAAGGACAATTTGGTACAATTGAAAGTCCTGAAAGGACAGATTTGTCATTGAAAGTGTTGTCCTGAAAAGGACAGATTTGTGTAGTCATTGAAAAGTGTTATCCTGAAAAGGACAGATTTGGTAGTCATTTGTTGTCCTGAAAAGGACTTTGGTTTTGAAAAGTGTTGTCCTGAAAAGGACAGATTTGGTAGTCATTGAAAAGTGTTATCCTGAAAAGGACAGTTTTGTTAGTCATTGAAAAGTTTTGAAAAGGACATTTTGGTAGTCATTGAAAAGTTTGTCCTGAAAAGGAAACAAAGACGTTAAATCATTTATGACTCAATCTAACTCGTTAGTTTTGGTCCTGAATATTCAATTGGCTCGTGCCGTGGTAACTGTTTGCTGACCAGATATTAATTTTGATCCTATTATTATTTTTATTAGATTTTCGACCATGGAAACTTTACGTCATTAATCACATGGATTGGCTTCACTTTTTTTGCTTTTTTTTTAAATTCAGAGTGTTGCAAGTGAGATTTTGGAATAAGATCAAATAAACAAGACGTAAATCATTTATGACTTTCGATGTCAATCTAACCCTAATATTCAAAAGTTGCAAAACATATTAATTTCTACTTATTATTATTTTTATTACACAACCATAAAACTGACGTCATTACATACACATGGATTGGCACTTTTGCCAATTCTCAGAGTAGCAGTGAGATCTGGCTAAGATCAAAATGACACTCCTCAGTTCTATATCAGCAACAGTTTAGTTTTTGAAAATGTGTCCTATATATATATATATTACACATATATATATATATATATATATATATATATATATCAACTGTTAAAATCTGTTTTTTACCTAAATTGCTAAAACTATACCACCCCTCTTCTTCCACTGAAAACCCTAAATACATCTCCTTTCTCTTTACTTTCCCCTTTCTTCTTTTCCTTTTTCTCTTTTCTCTTTCCCTTTCAACATATCATTTCCGTTGAGTTGACCAATTAAATAGGTCAATGTCTGATCCTTACCCCCTCCTTCCTCAATATTAAGTAGGACAGAAAGAAAGATTAAAATAAACCCTCTCTAAACTCGACCATGTCTCTCACACCACTTCTCGTTACCTTCTCTGTTAAATTACATAAGCTTAATACTACCCGTCAAAAGTGTAAATTTTCATTTCATTTTTCGTTTCACCTTTTGAAAGTGATGTCTGAAGATCCAGGGTATTTAAAAGGTCTCTGGTGAAATAAACTATTACAATGGAGCCTTAAAGTGGTCTGTTTTTTTTAAATATATATATATATATATATATATATATATATATATATATATATATATATATATAGAGAGAGAGAGAGAGAGAGAGAGAAAAACATTGCATTTTATATTTGCTATTATTACACTGGTTAATACGAGTTTTGGTGCCAAGTAACAAAACACATTTTTTAGCTAATTTAATGGTGCTGATCCCGAAAATGGCCTTAGTTTTTCATAGCTAGCTACCATTTTTTCTGTACTAAAATTGCTCATTTTTGGGGAAAAAGAAAAAGATCAATTTACGATATTAGCTGATCGCAAAATTTAGTTAATAAACGACGTAGAAACCCATCAATTTTCAGGCAGGCCGAGCAATTTATGTCAGCCACCTGAAATAAACTGTTTTATAAGAAAAAAAGTGTTTTTGAGTTCAAAATTTTAAACTAGAAATACCAATTTTTTCCAATTTATCAACAAAATTGAAATTAGGTGATAAGCTTTATCAGTAATACACTTTAGTAAGCCTGATAATTAAGGTGACATAAAAAAATGAATCCCTAAAATTTTTCTGCTTGACATTCATAAATATATCACTTTTATCCCTTCACTACAGAAGGATTGAGAGCATTTTGTTTTCACAGTTAGAAAGAAACTCCAACTAAAGACATCCCAATTGAATGCACCTATTCCATTGTACATGATACTGCTGGAGTATCAAAAGGGACTTAAATAACATTGAACATGACAGACAATCAAGAAAGAGAAAATTTTTACCATAGTTCTTATATTTACAAATGTTTTATTTCTGCTGTTAGTTTATTAAATGATTTGATGAAAATACTTGTTGGTCTTTGTATATTCAATCGTGTTATTTTTGAAGACTTAAAGTCTGATTGTTATTCCAAAAAAGTATTTCCTAATAAGCAGACAAATATTTGTTGGTTTAAATACGAATTGAGAGGTTTCTATGATTTTATTTTGAGAAATATTGTTATCGGTCAATATCATATATACAGAAATCAAATGAAAAAATGCTTTTTTCCCCTAAAAAGAGGGATTTCCGTACAGCAAAAACGGTAGCTAACCAAGAAAACGTAAGGTCATTTTCAGTTTCAGTGCCTTCATATTAGCTAAAAAGGATGTTTGGTGTCTCGACATCATTTCAATTTTTGTTTTTGTTGACCAGCGTTATTAATATAACGTAAGGTTGTTCGAAAAATACTGTCCGATTTTAGAATCTATTTTATTCATGAATTAATGTATATAAACAGTGTTTAAATCAGTCAACATATGAAACCTAAACATCTGTGCATTTCAGCCATCGAGTTGAAAGGTTATTGATGCCTTTACGATAAAAATTCTAAAAGTTTGGACGTCAAGAATTCTTTGAATGCTGCTACAGCAACTTTTATTGCAACGGAATGTCTTTTGGCATACAGCATTGCCAAGATGCTTGAGAAAGTTGTTGCCAGTGAACGAAAGATCAGGGGAATATGGTGGGTGTGGCAAAGTCTCGTATCCCAAATCGCTGACCTTATGCACTTTCATCATGGCGACATGTGGCTGATTATTTTCATGAAGCAGAATTAGACTTCGTCAATTAACCGGTATTTTGAAAAGGAGTAGAGGTTCGTCCCTTGGTTCCTGTTTAGAATTCGGATTCCGGTTCCTTCTAAAATCTACTTCGACTCTATATACCACTAAAGTCTCCGCCTGAAGTCTGAAATTTCATTCGCTAATTAAATCTTGAACTCTTCTAGCTGGCCGTCTTTCCTGTCACCTTGACATTTCCTACGTTAATAAAACTCTAGATAGTAACCCTCTACCTTGAGTGGCCCTTGGGCTTGTATTGGGCTAAGATTAGAAAATTTAAATTAAAAAAAAAAAACATGCCGGTCGCCTTTTGCTTAACTGAATGTGCATTTAACCAATTTTCTGGCAGTAGACTTCTGCAATGATATTCTGGCTAAATTCCAGGAAGCTGTAATGTATGATTCCAACAGCGGATAAGCAGACAGTTATCATAATCTTCTACTGGTGCAATGTCGATTTTGAAAAGTCTCTTCGTCTTTTGTCATGATCAAGTCATTGATGCGATTGTTTACGATTGTCATAAAAAAGATCCATTTCTCATCACAAGTCCATATTCAATCAAGAAATGGATCTGTTGTAGGAGTATTTAAGTTGAGTGTTTAATTTAGGAAACACGCGTCTCCTGGAATGTTTATCCCGCAACAAAAATGGTGGACTCGGTATGTGAGTCCGGGTAATAAAAACAAACAACTAAACCCATGATATATATATATATATATATATATATATATATATATATATATATATATATATATATATCTTGGTTTTAGTTGTTTATAGACATATATATATATATATATATATATATATATATATATAAAGATGAGGACAATAGTCCGAATAGTGCAAATAGTCTACATAATACCTCATCTCAGAAATATAGACAGATACTGAAGGCCCGAAACGTTGTAATAAATATGGCGACAAAGATGAGGACAATAGTCCAAATAATGCAAATAGTGTACATAATACCACATCTCAGAAATATAGACAGATACTGAAGGGCCGAAACGTTGTGATAAATATGGCAACAAAGATGAGGACAATTGTTCAAATAATGTAAATAGTGTACATAATACCTCATCTCAGAAATATAGGCAGATATTGAAGGGCTGAAACGTTGTGATAAATATGGCGACAAAGATGAGGACAATAGTCCGAACAATGTAAATAGTGTGTTCTTAAGTATCTAAATGTGACTCCCAATCTCTCCCCCCCGGCTTCCTCATTCTTCAAACTTAAAAAAAAAATTGCCTTGTCATGATGCTTCCCAATTAATATCAATAGCTTAACAAGGACCAAAAATAAAATTTGTATAAATATTTATTTTTTTAAATTTCGGAATTTTCGCTGCACCTTTTAATCTTTTTTTATCGCTTTTACGCAGACTGTATTTCTTCTCTTTCTACATTTGGCGCCAAGAAGCCCCAGCAGGAGGCGCTATTCGTCATCCCGGATGTTATTCAAGCATTCTTTTTCGGAAGATAAGTACATTCGTTAGCTTATTACAAATAATTGATAATTCCTACTACGTCATTTCGAACCCAGACGACCCAAATATTTTTTTTTCCATTTCAAGACACTTAACTGCTGAACATTACACGAGCGTTGTTTATTAAGTTATTTACGTATTAGGATTTCAAAATGAAAATTAGTTTAGGCTAACCTTCGTATTAATTTTTTGCATGGTTTTGAATAAATATTACACCCTTGTGTAAATTAATTAAAACAACTGCTTTAGCTTCCTTTCTTTCACTAGACGGTCAGTTTTGAACCTACTGGAATGACAGGGTGTAATTGATTTCTATTTTCCCCTCAGATTAGGTGATTTGCTGTGGTGTACAGCAATATGAATCTATTTTCGGGTCTTTAAAAATATTACATCATCCGCGATTGCATCAGATTTTTATCAGGCCCAGACACTATTGTCCCGACTGTCGATTAGTTGTCCTACGGCCATTGTCTGCGATGGACGTTACTCCAAGGAAACGTACGAAAAATTGTAACGCTGCAGGAACACAGTTTCAAGCCTTACCAGTGAGCAAATCAAAATACTATAGATTGGCTCGGAAACTCTTTTGATTTGAATCCAATCGAGAATCTGTGGTCAATCTGCAAGGAACGACTTCATGGAATGGACATACGAAGTACTGACATGTGCACTGGGTCAAGATTCATTGGAAAAAAACGAAAAAAGAAGTAAATAATAACGGAATTATTCGTTTTGTTTCAATTAATTTGTACAAGGGTGTAGGTTGTCACACATAAAATGACGCATTTCTTAATTATTAGGTTGTCACACATAAAATGACGCATTTGTTAATTATTAGGTTGTTACACATAAAATGACGCAGTTCTTAAATATTAGGTTGTCACACATAAAATGACGCATTTGTTAATTATTAGGTTGTCGCACATAAAATGACGCATTTGTTAATTATTAGGTTGTCGCACATAAAATGACGCATTTGTTAATTATTAGGTTGTCACACATAGAATGACGCATTTCTTAATTATTAGGTTGCTACACATAAAATGACGCAGTTCTTAAATATTAGGTTGTCACACATAAAATGACGCATTTGTTAATTATTAGGTTGTCGCACATAAAATGACGTATTTGTTAATTATTAGGTTGTCGCAATATAAAATGACGCATTTGTTAATTATTAGGTTGTCACACATAGAATGACGCATTTCTTAATTATTAGGTTGCTACACATAAAATGACGCAGTTCTTAAATATTAGGTTGTCACACATAAAATGACGCATTTTTTGGTTGGTTGTTGATCCGGTCATCTAAGGAAGTAACCTCGTTAGTATATAAAAAGATCTTGACTTATTCCTGACTCTTTTTCTTTCCAGATAATTTTTTCAATATATTATTACTCATAACCCAATGAAATTGCTTACAATGACGCAAGGTCGAGTAATTATACTGTATGAGTACAAACTGTGAAAAAGAACCATTTTTGCATCGATCATTAGACGAGATGAGAAATGGATACTCTTTGACAACAGTAACAGAGTAGGCCAGTGGTTAGATGTAAGTGAATCCCCCAAACAATCCCCAAAACATCAGCAGCATCCTAAAATTTAATGGTTACTGTAAGGTGGTCTTTCAAAGGGGTTATTCAGTATTCATTCTTGCCTCAATGGAAAACAATAACAGCAACCTTGTGTTGTAGAGAAATTGAGTGTATGTACGAAAAATTGAAAAAGAAACATCCTAGACATGTGAATAGATGTGGCCCAATTTTACTGCACGACAACGTACGGCCGCACGCTTCTCAATCAACTGGCCAAAAGCTGCATAGCCTGAATTATGAAATTTTGCCTCATCCTCCATATTCACCTGATCTCTCTCCTACTGGTTTTTGCTTATTTAAGCATTTTGAGCTTTTCCTACGCAATAAAACATTCTCCAATAAGGAAGAGGTAATCGAAGCATTTGAACTTTTATCACATCAAAGGATGAGAAATTTTTTAAATATGGTATCAAGTATTTAGAGGGACGTTGGGGAACAGTCTTTCGCCAACATGGTGCCTATTTCAACTTACTAAATTAGTTATTTAACATTTCAAAAACGTACATTATTTACATTATTCGGACTATTGTCCTCATCTTTGTCGCCATATTTATTACAACGTTTCAGCCGTTGTACGCTCCGGCTTTCTTCAGGTGGTTGGAATGTCGAACTAAACCCTTTATTTCGCTCACTGGGGTAGACTGTTCTAATATTTAATGGATGTCAGTTATCAGTTATCTCCTGTTAATTTCCCTCTGAAAGTTCTCGACTGCCTTAACCGGGTATGGAACTCACACTCTTTGGGTCCTGTCACTGGATCTAACTAACGCCTTTATCCTCTGTGCGATATGTCTTTGAGGAAATAAAGGGTTCAGTTCGATATTCTAACCACCTGAAGAAGGCCGGAGCGTACAACGGTTGAAACATTGTAATAAATATGGTGACAAATATGATGACAATAGTCCGAATAATGTAAATAATATACATAATACCTCATCTTAGAAATATAGAAACATTTCAAGAATATTTTATTCACTTCCCATGAAGTGCATCATTTGATGTTTGATAATCTAATATTTCCTATAATATTGCCCAAAGCAAATGTTATTTATTTTTCTATTTTTTCTTTAATTTCTGCTGTTTGTTTACATGTTTATTGTTTTGTTTTACGGCATATCAACACCTCAATGGGTTATTTAATGCCGACAAGATTTTTATTGCTGGTAATAATTTTTCGTTCGAAAATCTATTACTGGTAATATATTTTTTCCTTAAAAAATCTATTGCTGGTAATATAGTTTTCCTTCAAAAATCTATTGCTAGTAATATTTTTTCTTCAATCTATTGCTGGTAATAATGTATTGCTGGTAATAATTTTTTTTTCAATAATGTATTGCTGGTAATTATTTTTTCTTCCACAATTCATTGCTGATAATAATTTTTTATGAAAATGTATTGCTGGAATTAAAATATTAGGTTACAGAGAATATTTTCCTAAATTTTTAAGATTACCGATAACTTATTTAATTATGCAAAAATGGGTGCTCACGTTATTTTCTTAAATTGTTTTACAGATAAAGTCTTAAGTTGTCTGAATTACTTAGATGAAGAATTGTCAATTCATATTCATTTTCGACTCGTCTTTCTTCCATCTTATATCACTTAGAGCAATTCAAACTTAATCGTCTTAAGTTGTCTGAATTACTTAGATGAAGAATTGTCAATTCATATTCATTTTCGACTCGTCTTTCTTCCATCTTATATCACTTGCTTCTTTACACCTCGTAGCAATTCAAACTTAATCGTCTTAAGTTGTCTGAATTACTTAGATGAAGAATTGTCAATTCATATTCATTTTCGACTCGTCTTTCTTCCATCTTATATCACTTGCTTCTTTACACCTCGTAGCAATTCAAACTTAATCGTCTTAAGTTGTCTGAATTACTTAGATGAAGAATTGTCAATTCATATTCATTTTCGACTCGTCTTTCTTCCATCTTATATCACTTCTTTTTTACACCTCGTAGCAATTCAAACTTAATCGTCTTAAGTTGTCTGAATTACTTAATGAAGAATTGTCAATTCATATTCATTTTCGACTCGTCTTTCTTCCATCTTATATCACTTGCTTCTTTTACACCTGTAGCAATTCAAACTTAATCGTCTTAAGTTGTCTGAATTACTTAGATGAAGAATTGTCAATTCATATTCATTTTCGACTCGTCTTTCTTCCATCTTATATCACTTGCTTCTTTACACCTCGTAGCAATTCAAACTTAATCGTCTTAAGTTGTCTGAATTACTTAGATGAAGAATTGTCAATTCATATTCATTTTCGACTCGTCTTTCTTCCATCTTATATCACTTGCTTCTTTACACCTCGTAGCAATTCAAACTTAATCGTCTTAAGTTGTCTGAATTACTTAGATAAAGAATTGTCAATTCATATTCATTTTCGACTCGTCTTTCTTCCATCTTATATCACTTTGCTTCTTTTACACCTCGTAGCAATTCAAACTTAATCGTCTTAAGTTGTCTGAATTACTTAGATGAAGAATTGTCAATTCATATTCATTTTCGACTCGTCTTTCTTCCATCTTATATCACTTGCTTCTTTACACCTCGTAGCAATTCAAACTTAATCGTCTTAAGTTGTCTGAATTACTTAGATAAAGAATTGTCACTTATTCATTTTTGACTTTCTTTCATCCTATTCCTTTTGTTTATGTACAAATTTATGCTATTTAAAATATCATAGATATAGCATTTAATTCTCAATGTTCATGCTGTATATTGGCTTACGGCCATATCACGTTGAAACACCGGTTTTCATACGATCGCCGAAGTTAAGCAACATCGAACCTAGTCGCTACCTAGATGAGTGACCGCTTAGAAATACCCGGATACCTTGGATGTGCAAATGATGCAATCGATAACGCCACGGATTTGGAAATCGGAGAGGCGAGTTCCAATTCCAGTCGGGTTTGTTATATTCACTTAAGTGCAAACACTCATCGAAAAGGTTTGAGTCAACCTCTTCTCCCCACCAGCTATGGGTTAATTAGTAGAGCTTGTATGAGTAAATTATTATTTACTCATACAAGCTTCAAAAAATTTGTACAATATAAAAATATTTTCTGTCTTTGAAGAACCTGTAAGAGGTTGACAAACCGTAAAACAGAAACCATTCAATCAATCTTATATATTGTCTTGAATGTTTTCTTGGATCTCATGGGATAAAACAAAATGAAAAACGAAAGGTTTTGTTTTCCAAAAATCGAATTAAAAAGCCAATATTAAAAAGATCATTTCTAAGTTTCAAGAATGAAAATATGCAGAAATTGGTTTGATTTTATAAATATTATTTGTAAACTTATGGCCTGAAGATGTCTTTATGCGTGAAACACAATGTCGCTGGTGGGAATTGACCTCAGTTTATATATATATATATATATATATATATATATGTGTGTGTGTGTGTGTGTGTGTGTAAGCAAATATATGGATATAGATCCGACAGTATGAAGAAAAAATATACTGAAAAACAAACAAAAATCCTAATATGCGATTATGCTGTTTTAATGTTTAATGCCAACGTTGGACGTTTCGGTCTAATAGACCATCGTCTTTTTTAATGTTGAATTGTATATGGCCTATGTTAATTATGTTTTATGAATATGTCCTGAAGATGGTCTATTAGACCGAAACGTCCGACGTTGACATTAAACATTAAACAGCATAATCGCATATTAGGATTTTTTTTTTTTTCAGTATATTTTTGTTCATATATATATATATATATATATATATATATATATATATATATATATATATATATATATAAGGGAGAGGTTATAGTTGTTTCAACGAGAGAAAAGTGTATATTTTAAAGAGAAGAGAGAAACCGCTAACGTTTTTGATTATAATGTGGATTTTTAAAAAATATATATTATACATTATTTTCCATATTTTTTCTACACGGGTTTCCGGTCTTGCGGCCTTCATCAGGCAAAGAGTGGTTATTTCCACATATTGTTAACAGGAATTAATTTTCTTTATGTTTTCCGGTGTTTAACCATTAACTTTTGTGTGTAGTATTAATACAAATCTTTCTTGGTCTTGTGGAGAAAATATTCTTTTGTTTAAGCAGTAATAATACAATTACGATTATGATATATTGGTATAATTTTAAATTTACCTTGCTTACATTTGTAGATGTGTTATATATATATATATATATATATATATATATATATATATATATTTGGTTGGATTGATGTGATCGTGTGACCCTGGGTTTCACGCTTTGAAACCAGGGTCACAAACTCACATCAATCCAACCAAATATGTTAGCTTTTATCTCAGATATTGGGCGCTTTCTAATAAGTATCTGCATATAATATATAAATAATTTTATATATATATATATATATATATATATATTGATATTTATATTTATATTTATATTTACACTTTTCACACACACACACACACACACACACACACACACACACACACACACACACACACACATATATATATATATATATATATATATATATATATATATATACATACTTTTTGTTTGTATAAATTTTTATTTGTTCCCTGTTTACAGTCAGGAATGATGTTTGTGTGTAGGGGGGGGTGAATACATTGAAAGTCTTTTTTTATCCTTCACTTCATTCCCCAAATAGAAAATGGACCGGCGGGGGAGGAATATTTTGACATACAGATGTCAATCGACTATATAACAATAATATATACTTTGTGTTGCTGAAAGTATTTAACAAACAAAAACAAACCATATCACTTTCCGTACAAGCATAACTTCTATTTTAATTTTATAAAACATCCTTTGTGAACTCATTTTTAAAATAATTTTTGATTTTGAACGGAAACCAAAATATCTGATAGAATCTTAAGCAATGAGTTTGACCAAAACCTTTTCACTTTGTACCAATCTTAACAACAACCAGGGATTATAATTTTAGCTATATCTCAGTTAAATATGGAGTTTAGTCACGACAATAGTACTCTTGAGTTTTCTTTTTTTTTTCCAAACAGCCTCCTTTAAATATTCCGGATATATAACTTAATACTTAATTTTCTTGTTATATATTGTCTCTGGTGTTCTTTCTTGATTTTATGAAATGAAGAAATATTAAAAAAAGTTTTATCTTGAGAAATCGAATTAAAATGCCAATATTACAAAAAATGAATTTGTATGTTTCAAGAATTCAAATATTTAAAATTTCATTATTATAATTATAAATTGTTTTAAAAGATGAAACTGAATTAGGATCTTTTAAAACAATATAATCAATTTATAATCAATCTGACTCCTCTTCAAATATGTTTGTTTGCATCCCAAGCAATGAGCAAAAAGGTTACTGTGTTCTTTGCATACATCTCTACCACAATTGTTACGGCCAATTTTATTTTATGATCTTGTGCTTGTAATTCACAAAAATATTGTGATGAAAAAACAAAAACTCCTTGCATTTACTTGATAGATCTATTCACAATGTTACTTGACTCATCATGAAAGAACAGGAATTAAGAAGCCAAAATCTCTGATAGAATCTTCAGCAATCTTTTGACCAAAAGTTCTTCATTCTAGCAGTAGCACCAATCTTAACAACAACCAAGGATTATAATTTTAGCTATTACTCATTTATATATGAAGTTTAATCCCGTGGGACATTGTCATGGCATTAATACTGTGCAGTTTTCAAACAGCCTCCATTAAAATATTCCAGATATATAATTTAATATTTAATTTTCTTGTTATATATTGTCTCTGGCGTTCTTTCTGGCTTTTATGAAATAAAGAAAAAATGAAAAAAGAAAATTATCTTGAGAAATTGAGTTAAAAGGCCAATATTAAAAAATGAATTTCTAAGTTTCAAAAATTCAAATATGCAAAATTACATTTCAATATTATGATTATAAATTGTTTTTAAAAATCTAACTGTAATAAAGTTTTTTTAAAAACAATTTGTAATCAATCTGACTCCTCTTCAAATATGTTTGTTTGCATCCCAAGCAATGAGCAAGAAGGTTACTGTGTTCTTTGCATACATCTCTACCACAATCGTTACGGCCAGTTTTATTTTATGATCTTGTGCTTGTAATTCACAAAAATATTGTGATGAAAGACAGAAAGTTCTTGCATTTACTTGATAGATCTGTTCACAAAGTTGTTAAGTAAATGTTCTGTTAATAATAAACAGTATTAACAACATTTACCGGCCTGAATGTCCGAGAATTTTTCATAGAAAATATGGTAATACTGTTTATTATAAACAGAGTATTTACTTTTTTATCTATAAAAATAGCGTATAAAAAATAAATATATTAAAATAATTGTCGGATTTTGTTCATTTCGTAGAATGTGACGTCATTTGTTTACGTTTGGATACGCTTCGAGCGGATATGATCGTGGGAAATCATTGAAAATTGCAATTTAAAAACAGTATAATCGACCTTGCTAAGCAAGACGCTCCTCTGTAGCTAAATTGGTATATCAGGTCAGACTATATGACGGTTTCGTGTAGGATACAGCTTCGATTCCTGTTGGAGAACACATTTTCTGTGAAAATTTCTCGGACATTCAGGCCGGTAAATGTTGTTAATAGTGTTTATTATAAACAGAGCGTTTACTTGTTTATTTGTATTATCAGCCTACCCCTCCTTCCGTCAACTGTTGCCTCAAACCTCTTTTCTTCATCGTCGTTGCTACTCTTTGAGCAACGACTCAACGCTTTCAACGTTAAGGCGCATCACCGTTTTGATGGACACCCATTCAAAGTGGTTTGGCGGTTGACATTTGCCGCCAGTCAAAGGTCACATGACATCGTATCCCCGCTAATAAGTATCCACGTGCGGACAGACGATGTGCGGGCATCGAGTCGAGAAGGCACGTTTCCCGCCTCTTTCTTCATCATACGGCTCAAACACCTAGACTTCGGTAATAAACCTATTTTTTGCCTGAAGCTACCTTTACCATCTTTGAATCGATCCTAGCCCAACCTTTCCGACTTTCCTACATAATACGAGATTCTCTTCAAAAAAAAAAAAAAAAAAAAAAAAAAAAGAAAAGCAGCAAGCATTTGTCACGAACTCTTCAAGAATCTCCACTTGTTAACTACAGCGTTCTATGTACTTACTTACATCTTCGTCATAGGGCCGTCGCACGTAAGAGAATTTCATTTTTCTATCAATACCTAACCGTTCTCTTACTGTTAGCTCATCGACGGTAGGAAACCTAGCATCTTTTAAACAGCCGTTGCTACAATATCAAGAGAACCTTGCCTTTCACCCAAAGCAACAAGTAACAGAACCCACGAGACTCCACACGAGGTACTTGTATTTCCTAGATCTTTCCCTTGGTCTATACTTCATTCTATGTTGACGAACATTTCTCTTGCAACTTATAAACTCTGTGATTCTATCCTAGTCGAACTCATGTCAGAGTTTCATAATCTACCGTGTTAATCTGTTTCTAAGTCCCCATTGATTCTTCTATTATCCGGCTCCTGTCTTCTTCAGGAACATTTGGCGCCAACCATTACAATTTGGCGCGCAATAACGTTCAACCATCAACATCAACCTCAGACTACAGAGATTCACCAGACTTATTATCCAGCAGCCAGGAACTCGACACCGCATTCTTTCCTTTCTTCATCCTGTCAGTTTTTTTATTAAATAAATTTATATTTGTTATGCCTTTCATACACCATTTTTATTTGTCCATTTCTACCGTTGCTAACCTTGTCAAAAACCATTGATATCCTAAAAGAGTATCAACTACATTTCTACGTGGGAGTCTGGTAGTCTGACACAAGACCATACGAAAGGAAACCACAATAGGTTACCAGGCTTCTACTACAGCATCTATAAAAATAACGTATAAGCAGAAAGTATTTTAAAATAATTGTCGTACTTTGTCCATTTCGTCGAGTGTGGCATAAACATATGTAAAACACACATACACACATACCCATACAACTTATATAGCTCCAACAGCAAATATGTAATTATAATTCCAATACAAATATGCCTAAGTAATTATAAAATTAATACAAATTGAAACACAAATATCTTTATATATATATATATATATATATATATATATATATATATATATAATTATTTTTTATAAAAAAAATTATAACATAAGTATGTTATAAAATCACTACAAAAATAGCCATTTTGTTTCAACACACTCGGTGTCTTATCAAGTGATGATGTTGAAAATAAAATAAATGGTTTTAAAAGTTTCAGATTAATTAACGATCCTACACTAGGGGGAAACATTGTTACAAAAAGCTAGAATAACCAATCAAAAACGAAGTATAGAAAGATTCAAAAAAAGCGACAACGAAATCATGTTATAATATCTATTCAGATCTTTAAATACGTGTAATATTAAAAATAATTTATACTAACCAATAATTATAAAATTATATGATAAAATTTAATATTAAAATTAAAAACTGGCAATTTTAAAATCCAAGTTTAATCACTATTAGGTTTAAAAAACTACAAAATTATTGAGAAAAGAAAAAATATATATGTTTATTCAATTTATTTCTTCATTGAAATTACGTTCGACAAGACGCTACAATTGTTGGTTATTGGAATTCATTCTGTATATACCAATTATATACTTGGGTATATATATATATATATATATATATATATATATATATATATATATATATATATATATATATATATAGGTAGTAATCCGTTGGTATAATCCAGGCGAGTCCTATTAACACCACATAGAATTTAAAATATGTTAAAACTGACTCACAAAAGAACGCTTCATGTTTATTTTCAATAAACAGAGCAAATTTTATATATATATATATATATATATATATATATATATATATATATATATATATGACGAAATATAGTCTTAATATGTGCTATATTTATGGGCTAAAGTACTCATTATGAGAGATAGAGCATGTGTTAATATAAAAGTGAACATTGAAGTCAACACTTAGAGGTGGCCTGACGATTGCATCTAGCATGAAACAGCCTGTTGCCTCTAAGTGTTGACTTTTAATGTTCATATTTATATATATATATATATATATATATATATATATATATATATATATATATATGTGTGTGTGTGTGTGAAAAGTGTATATAAATATAAATAAATATATATATGTATAATTATTTATATATTATATATATACTTATTAGAAAGCGCTCAATACCAGAGATAAAGCTATATATATATATATATATATATATATATATATATATATATATATATATGCTGTATCAAAAATACTTTCACAAACTTTGGGGCGGGTTCCATATATATCCAAATAAACATATGTCAAAAAGGCCATCGTTGTACCTCAACACAGCAACACATAACAGATGTTCAAAATGTTTTCCGCTTGCTTCTACACACGCATGCACACGTCGGATCATCGACTGGTGGACACTCTCCCATGACACGTTGATGAAGCGTCTCTGCATTGCAAATGTCTGCTTCATGAACCAATTATTTTAGGTCGGAGGAACATGCAGACCTTGCAACTGGTCCTTTCATGTAAGATGTCAGCTAGTGCATCGCGAATAATGTGACTAAAATGCACACGTTGCAAATGATAATGAATGCAAGAGCTGCTCTTGAAGTACCTTTCATGCGGTACGCTGAGATGTACAAAGATGCTAGGCCATTTGACGTGTTCTGATACCTGAATCGTCTCCGACAACCTGTAGAATGTGTTCATCGTGCTCGGATGTAGCAGCGGATATCGATCTTCCTCGGTCCATAGTTTTTTGTCTCGGTTCGTGAAACAGCAACACGACACAATTAGTAATGCACATGTGTTGGTATGCATTACTGTAATGTTTCCTTTTTGATTTTAAATGCATAAATGGATAGCAAATCATACTTTTGTATTACTACTTGCATCCCTGATGATGATCTCAGAAGATCGAAAGTACTTCGGAAATGGAAAATAAAAGCGATTTTTTTTCTCATTTTAATTCTAATACATGAAAGGTTATCCGTGAGTATGAACGGATTTTATTAAAAATAAGCAGACATAATATATGTAATTTATTTAATCAGATATGCTTAAAAGAGAAACTGCCTAAATACACACACACACACACACACACACACACACACACACACACACACACACACACACACACACACAAACACACACACACACATACATATATATATATATGTATATATATGTATAGGTGTGTGTTTGTGTATACACACACGTATATGTGTATGTGTGCAAATATATATAAATATATATGTATGTGTGTGTGTGGTAGTAGCAGAAAGTCAGTTATGTGTCATGCGTGATACACGCTTAGGCGATCATGTATCTTTCGATACATAACTGACGAGGCATATTTTCCCCACAGTAGGTTGCCATTTCTTTCTGCGGTAGACCAGTTGCCATCCAGAGTTATACAACCCGGTCTGTCCTGCTATTTACCCATAGCTGGGGGAAGAAAAAGAGGATTCATACGTTTCCCAACGGTATTAGAACGTAAGTGAATGTAATGGATTCGATTGGAATTCGAACTCGGCTCTCCGATTCCTCAATCCAAGACGCTATCCATTACTCCAACGTGCCTCAAAAGGGAAAAACTTAGCTACGCGTTTCGTTCCTAGAAGGAACATCTGGAAAATAACGGTTTATTTGATGGAATCAATCTCAGCCAGTTACAACAAGCACCGGTTACATTTTTAGATCGAAACGTTAAAGGTGCAGAGACGCTTAGCTTCAACTTTAAATTATGAAGTCTGCTGTGTTTCAGTATTTACTTTTTCCCAGAGCGTTTTTTTCTATTGATAATGTTTTGAGGTTTATCCTTCTCGCTTATTAAGTAAGCATCATTGTACCAGCGGAGAAACGCAGTTTTAATTAAAAGAGAAAGTAATTAAATAAATTGAAATTACATTAAATGCACACTAATTTCAGAATCCACTCTGGTTAATTTACGATGAGGGCCAGAGAACACATTTCCTGTCTTCACAAAATTATTGCCGGTACAAAGTGGGTCAATAAAAACAATAGCAAGCAAAAATAAATATAAAAACAAAAAGGCAATGCAAATGCTTAATATCGGCTAAGTTAGATATCTTGATATACCAGACGCTAAAATTTATGGTAAATTCAAGTGCATCACTTGATGACAAGATTGTTAATCGCATTGCAAAAGCCAGCGCTTCCTTTGGTTAGCTGCGTCATAGGTTGTGGGACGAAAGGGGAATAAAGCTTTGCACTAAAATCCAAGTGTATGCAGCTGTCGTTTTGTCAACTCTTTTGTATGGCTCTGAAACTTGGACACCTTATAGATGGCACATTATTCGGTTGTCTAACGTTTGATGATCGAATGTCAAATGCCGACCTTTTTGAGAAATGCAAGATTGGTACCATGGATACTGTTGTGGGGCTCTCCTTTTTTTACATAAGATGGACTCGTCCAAAATATACTTATACTGACAGAGAGAATACCTGCTGTTGAGTCTCTGAATGTGTCCGACGTCTGTCGAACTCTCTGCTTTGCCAGAGAGGAACCCGGACGAAGCTTTGCCGAATTTCTTGGTGGTTGGAAAACATTAATTATGAAAAATAATAAACTTTTCTTTTAAACAATTTTTATTTTCCAAAGAAGTTACAATCTCATCTGAAAGGTTAAATTGTCTGTGAATGTGTATACGTAGTTCCATAAATTCAAATATATCTTAATCTATCTATCTATCTATCTATCTATCTATCTATCTATCTATCTATATAGTTGGATTGATGTGAGTTTGTGACCCTGGGTTTCACGCTATTTGCGATCGTCAGACAAGCTGATTAATTTTAAAATTTTGGATTTATATATGATTGCGTATATTGGTGTTTTTATGGTAGTGGGAGTAAAAATTGTCGTCGGAATCGATATACGCAACCATATATAAATCCAAAATTTAAAAATTAATCAGTTTGTCTGACGATCGCAAATAACGTGAAACCTAGGGTCACAAACTCACATCAATCCAACTAAATATGTTAGCTCTATCACTGTTCGTTTTACTGCGTGTTGCAGCGTTTCACGGTCAAATCCAAATTCGAGATGTTTTATTTTTTACGCATGGGAGGCAACTTTTATATTTTTTTATTTTATTTATTTATTTATTTATATCATTATTGCTTTATATCGTGGACTCTCCGGTCTTTGTTGACCCGCGACGACCGGGGACCATTTTACGACGCATGAGAGTCAAGTACCTTAGTTCCTAGGAACTGACAGCCAGACAACTTCCACATATGATTTGATTATAGTGGTGAAGGTTTTGTGCAGAACCAACCACACTTTTTGAAGAGCCGAATACATAGACGCGGCGCAGCACGGGTCAAAAGGTCCCCAAAAGACTCTTCGCAGATATATATATATATATATATATATATATATATATATATATATATATATATATATACGTTTCATTAAATAATATAGACAAGTGTTGTCTATTTATTTTATGTAAATTCTTTTCATAACGTCTAATAAGTTTTATAACATTATCATTGAACGAAGAAAGAAATTCACAATATTGATCCATATTTTTTAATACAATCTAAGCTTTCGGCTTACATAAGCCATTATCAAAGATGGCAATATACGGACAGGACAATGATGACAGTCTGTGAATGTTTACATAGATGATCTCTAAGCAACGATAAACACGTGCATATAAGACGCTAGAAGCGAAAATCGCACCGCATCTCATGACGTCATACATGACCACGCGAGAGTGAATTGGAGAAGTATGAAGTATGGAAAGCCGTTGGCACAAACCAATGGCCTCCGTCACCAACTACAGACATTTAAGGATATTTGTAGAGATTCCATATTGATTTTGTTTAGGTTGGGTTTCAACTGTTTAATGTATAATGCTTCAAGGATTTTTAGTTTTTGTCTATTGTTTTCATGTCGAAGTATAATTGTGTTTTCGACAAGTATTTTACGGAATTGTGTGTGCGGACAGGCATGTTGTTTTAAATACCTAAAAATGTTATATATGTATGTGTGTGTATGTGTGTGCGTGTGTGTGAAACTTTGCTGCTACAAACATTTAAGAACTTTGTTGCTAGACTCATAGCTGACTTTATTTTAGGCTTTAATTCTCTTATATAAAGGTCTTCTAGGATTTTTTGTTTTTGCTTATTATTATTTTTATGTAATATAGACGTATTTTCAACTAAAATCTGTCTAAACACTGAGTGTACACATAAGCGTCCCTTTAAATGCTGTGAGATTGAACTATGCTCATAACGTAATGTTTGTTAAGACTGTGTCCGGCAATGATGTAACCTTGGTAGGACTTTTAATTCCCTCCGTATTGCTTCACTATAAAGTTTGAATAATTAAGACGAAAAGCTGAGAAATCTTATCTTTATTTCTAACGAAATATTTGTTTCCTAAAACTTTATTTAGTTTTTGGAAAGCGTATATTGCGATTCCAATGGGTCTGCGGATTTCAAAATAACATTTTCCGTCCTCTCTTAAGAAACGTCACAGATATTTAAATTTTCATACTTGTATGATTCTCTTCAATTCGTAACTCGCATCCTGGACTGTCCCTCTTGCTAACAACAATACATTCTATCATCTTATAATTGATAGTTAGTCTTTTCTTCCCGCTTTCATTTACTAGCATTTCTATGAATTTGTGCAGTTTTCTGTGTCATTTGTATATCTTATATCGTTAAGATTGTGTCCACCGATAATAAATTCTAGTAGAACTTCTAGTTCTATCAGGATTGTCTCCCTGCAAAGGTTGCATAATATACGCTTCATTGTAGAATTCACTTGATTCACTTTCAGCAGTTGACTATTTCTTATTCTTATACGCGCCGCGGGCGAATTTTATATGCGTTGTTCTTGTCAATAAAAAATGGTTTTTGTATTTTTATTTAAGTCTTGAAACTTTTATGTTGAAAAAATACGATAAAAATGAAACAATTGATAATTCTTACTTGGAATAATGGACGTTATATGTTTATCTTGTAGAAAATATTTTAGTTCTGTGTAAATAAAAAAATTAATCAATTAAGGACTAGTCATAGAGAGACCTTAGGATATGTAACCTAGAATATTTGGTTGAAGAAGAGAAATACATTGAAAAAACATTTAAAATTCTTCAATACCGATATCATTTCATCCCCAGCGCTAGAAAACGCCTATAAAACCTTCACAAATGAAAAAAAAATAGAGGCCGACTATCGTACTTCTAACATCAACAACACAAAATTCATAATGCTGACCTCTAACGCTTTATAAGCAAAAATCTGAAAAGGACACATGGTACAGTGGATAAAGGCGTTTGTTAGATCCAGTGACAGAACACAAAGAGTGTGAGTTCAATACCCGGTTAAGGCAGTGGAGAACTTTCAGAGGGAAATTAACAGGAGATAACTGTTAACTGACATCCTTTAAACATGGCACGTGCAACTAGAATATTCTACTCTTATGCATTGATTCACTTGAGCGAATTATCGTTTGGTTTGCTTGAGTTTGTTTAGCGGCGTATCCACCCCTGTGGATTAGTTAATGCGGACTATTCTGACATTGATGGATTGCCTTTGTCTGAATTTTGAATATAAGTCGAAAATAGCGTAAACTCAATAGAGAGAAAAATTAACAGGAGATAACTGATTAAACATGGCACGTGGAACTAGAACAGTCTACCCCAGTGAGCGAAATAAAGTGCTCAGTTCGACATTCCAACCACCTGAAAAAGGCCGGAGCGTACAACGGCTGAAACGTTGTAATAAATATGGCGACAAAGATGAGGACAATAGTCCAAATAATGTAAACAGTGTACATAATACCTCATCTCAGAAATATAGACAGATATTGAAAAATTTAAGTATCCCTAACACTGCGTTGTTACCACCATATCCATAACTGATTCTGCCACCCTAATTAAAAAAGGTCATAATTTTTTACGTCGGAAATACTTCAAAGGAGTCCTGATGAATATTTTACTAACTGGGTCTTTACCATCATGTTCGACGATATAATTAGGAAGAAAAATAAATCCTACACTACTTCAGATGCTGGTATTTATCAAATAAATCTCTTGCAATGCAAAAACACTTATATCGGTGAGACATCTGCAAATCTAAAAGCTCGCATCTACGAGCGTAAAAGGGGTCTAAATTGTGACAACCCTTTCAACTCACTCATATAACACAGAAACAAAACTAGGCATAACCTGATTTTGTCACCCTAATTCATAAAAAATCATAATTTTTTACGTCTAAAATACTTTTTAAAATGTCCTGTTAAATACAGGGGTTGAACAAAATAATTGGAACAGTTGCAAAATCCACTCCTATATTTCAAAGACCGATTATATTAAGAACTTTAACTAAAACTTCATAATTGCAGTTTATATCTATTGTAAATATGTTTATTTATCTAATTTACTGTCTTTGTCTTATTTATTTTTAGAATTTAGTAAAATTTAAGTTAAATGCGTGACCTCTCCAAGTTCGAAAAGAGCAAATTGTTGGAGCTCGCATGGCAGGAGCCTCGATCACTAAGGTTGCTGAATCGTTTGGTTTTCAAGAGCTACCATATCAAGAACACTGATGCAATTCGAGAAACAGGGCAAGACCTCTAACAACCGTGGCAATTCGGGCCGGACTTGCAAACTTTCTAACAGGGACGGGCGTGCATTGAAACGCAATGTGGCAAAAAATCATCAGAAAAATGCGGCCAAAGTGACTGTTGAGTTGAATAACCATCTGAATAGCTCAGTTTCTACTAAAACTGTTCACCGTAAGCTCCATAAGGCTGCATATCACGGAAGAGCCGCTGTGAGGAAACCTCTTCTCCCACTCGCAACATTCAAAAGAGGTTGAAGTGGTGCAGAGATCGCAATGCCTGGTCTGCAGACAAATGGAAGCAAGTCATATTCTCAAACAAGTCCAGTTTTTCTCTTTTCCCCAACTTCAGGGAGAGTTTATGTGTGGAGGCAGCCCAAAGAAGCTTACAAACCTGACTGCCTTCTTCCAACAGTGAAGCATGGAGGTGGATCAGTGATAGTTTGAGCCGCCATATCATGGAAATGTCTCAGTCTAATAGTTGCCCTGCATGATAGAATCAACAGCAAAAATTACCTGAACATTTTGGGAGATCATGTTCATCCAATGGCCAAGACTTTATTCCCTGGTGGTGACTGCATCTTCCAAGACGATAATGCTCCAATACATATCGCTCGAGTGGTTAAGAATTGGTATGAAGAGCATGAACGTGAGCTAGAACACATGGAGTGGTCTCCCCAATCTCCAGATATCAAAATTATTGAACATTTGTGGTACATTTTGGAGCAACAAGTTAGGAACCGCTATCCTCCACCGTCGTGTCGTAAAGAGCTGGAGAAGGTTTTAATGGAAGAATGACTGAAAATTCCTCTGGATGAAGTCAGGAAGCTGTATGACTCCATTCCTAGACGTATTAAAGCTGTCTGTGAGGCTAAAGGTGTACCAACTCCATATTAAATAATTTTCTTTGAATTTAACAAGGGTTCCAATTATTTTGTCCAACCCCTGTATTTTACAAACTATAAACAAGCGTCAAAAACACTATATCATATCATCAACCTTTATTAAATCTATTCTTAAAGAATCGACGTTTACGTAAAACGTTCCCAAATCAACATGCAGACAACTACCAATGTTTACTAAACACATACACAAACATTACAAATACACATTATCATCTGAATCCCACATAGACAAAATAGAATTATTATACACTTACATACATAAAGCAATATTTACGGTTTTTTTTTTTTCATTTAGGCTTGGATTACGTTAAATTTTGGAGTTTCGAAAGAACGCGTGGTCTTTCCTTTAATTCTACTAACGTTATTTAGCAAGTCCAAGGCACCTGAATCCTCGTTAACCACTGATAATCAAACAACACAAGAACAAAAATACCAGAATTTCTTTCTTCCTTTTCTCTATAAGTCATTCTCTGATGAAGCTTTAATAAAAGTGAAACATGTTAGATTGATAAACGTTTTCTATTTGTTCTTTATCTTATCATTCTGTCAGATTCCCATCCACATATGATCTCCATTTGATCCCAGTTCATCTTGTCTGAACATTGAAACTACTTCAAAAAGACAACAGCATTCTATTCGTATCTCATTCTCTGATGAAGCTTTAATAAAAGTGAAACGTGTTAGATTGTTAAACGTTTCCTATTTGTTCTTTAGCTTACCATTCTCTCAGATTAAAATCCATATTTATTTGATAAACGTTTTTTTATTTTTTTTTTAATAAATGTGCTATTATTTCTATGTGTTCTTTTATCTTATCATTCTGTCAGATTCCCAAATCCATATATGATCTTCCCAGTCCATTTGATCCCAAAATCATCAGTCGTTATCTGAACATTGAAACCGGCTACTTCAAAAAAATTTAAATGCAATGAATCGTTATCTTCTTCTCTTCCTGATTACTCTTCTATTGTTCTCAATTTTTCGATTGGAACTCTTCTGGCTTCTTGCTTTCCATTCAAATTTGATTTCAAAATTGAAATGCAATGTCTCGTTATCTACTGTCTTCCTGATTACTCTTCATTTTAATAAAAAACTTTGATCTTCAAAAATTGAAATGCAATGTTCGTTATCTACTGATTGTTAAACGTTTCCTATTTCCATTCAAATTCTTTAATGTCTTTATCATTCTTCTCACTCATCAGATTTTTGCTTTCCAAAATGCAATCATTTATCTATCCATATTTTTTCTGAACTGTTCAAATTCTTCAAAAATTGAAATGCAATGTCAGTCGTTATCTATGTCTTCCTGAAAATACTTCATTGTTCAACAATTCTATTCAAACTATTTTGATCATTTTTTTTATTGTTCTCACTAATAAATGTCTTCAAAATTTTAATGCATTATTAGATGTGGAACTCTGGTTTCTTGCTTCCATTTAATTTATCTTATCTCTATTTCTTGTGATTCAAATTTGATTTCAATCATTCTGTCTCATTAAATTTCGCGTGTGGAAAATTCAAATTTGATCTTCAAAAATTGAAATGCAATCGATCGTTATCTACTGTCTTCCTGATTAACTGTTTCTCCAATTTTTCAACTACTCTGGCTTCTTTGTTTCCATGTTATGAACAATAAAAACTAAAGACTTTTTTTTTTCCCAAATGCAATGTCAATCGTTATTTCCTTCCTGTTATCATTGTTCTCAAATTTTTCTTCTGGCTTTCTTGTTTTTCTCTTCAAAATTAAATGCAATTATCTTCGTCTTCCTGATTTTGTTCTTTTTCTTAGCCTTCTTGCTTTCCATTCATTTCAAAAATTGAATGCAATGTCAATCGTTATCTACTGTCTTCCTGATTACTCTTCTATTGTTCTCACTCAATTTTCGCGTGTCTACAAAGTTCTTGTTTATCCATTCAAATTTGATCTTCAAAAATTGAAATGCAATGTCGATCGTTATCTACTGTCTTCCTGATTTTTTTTCTATTGTTCTCACCAATTTTCTTTGTGGAACTCTCTTCCGTTTCTTGTTTTTCTGTCAACTTTGATCTTCAAAATTTAAATGCAATGTCAATCGTTATCTACTGTCTTCCTGATTACTCTTCTCTCTTCTGGCTTCTCTGCTTTCCATTCAAATTTGATCAAAATTGAAATGCAATGTCGATCGTTATCTACTGTCTTCCTGATTACTCTTCTATTGTTCTCAAATTTTCTGTGAAACTTTTCCGGTTTTTTGCTTTCCAGTCAACTTTGATCTTCAAAAATTTAAATGCAATGTCAATCGTTATCTACTGTCTTCCTGATTACTTTCTATTGTTCTCACTCAATTTTCGCTTGTGGAACTCTCTTCTGGCTTCTTGCTTTCCATTCAAATTTGATCTTCAAAATTTGCAATGTCTTATCTACTGTCTTCCTCTCTTCTCTCTCAATTTTTCGCGTGTGGAACTCTCTTCTGGTCTTTTCCATTCAAATTTGATCTTCAAAATTGAAATGGGAATTCTGTTATCTTTCTTGCTAGTCAAATTTTCGAAAAAATTTAAATGCAATGTCAATCGTTATCTACTGTCTTCCTGATTACTCTTCTATTGTTCTCAAATTTTCGCTTGTGGAACTCTCTTCCTTCTTAGATCTTCAAAAAATTGTTTTCCTCGTTATCTACTGTCTTCCTGATTTTTCTCTAACATTCGCGTGTATCTTTTCCATATCAAATTTGATCAAAATTGAAATGCAATGTCAATCGTTATCTACTGTCTTCCTGATTACTCTTCTATTGTTCTCAAATTTTTTCGCGTGTGGAACTCTCTTCTGGCTTCTTGCTTTCCATTCAAATTTGATCTTCAAAATTTAAATGCAATTCGTCGTTATCTACTGTCTTCCTGATTACTCTTCTATTGTTCTCACTCAATTTTGTCAGTCGTTATTACTACTCTTCTTGCTTTGAAATGCAATGTCGATCGTTATACTGTCTTCCTGATTACTCTTCTATTGTTCTCTGCTCAATTTTCCTCTGAATTCTTCTGGCTTCTTGCTTTCCATTCAAATTTGATCTTCAAAATTGAAATGCAATGTCAATCGTTATCTACTGTCTTCCTGATTACTCTTCTATTGTTTCTCAGCGTGTGGAACTCTCTTCTGGCTTCTTGCTTTCCATTCAAATTTGATCTTCAAAAATTGAAATGCAATGTCATTATTTTCTTCCTGATTACTCTTCTATTGTTTCACTCAATTTTAATCAAATTCAAATTTGATAAAAATTGAAATGCAATGTCAGTCGTTATCTACTGTCTTCCTGATTACTCTTCATTGTTCTCACTCAATTTTTCGCTTGTGGAACTCTCTTCTGGCTTTCCATTCTCTTCAAAAATTCAATGTCAATCGTTATCTACTGTCTTCCTGATTTTTTAGTGGTCAATTTTCGCTTAACTCTTCCGGCTTTTTGCTTACCTGTTAACTTTGATCTTCAAAAATTTAAATGCAATGTCAATCGTTATATTTTGTCTTCTTAATTATAATCATTTTATTGTCTTTCTCCTAAATTGTAGTTCTCATATTCTCAAACATTCGGTAACCTCTTGCGTCTTAGTGGTTTTATTGACTTGCTTCGGTTGACATTATAAAAAAAGCAACTATTAAGTACAATCAAAGAAACGGAAATGAGAAGACAGTAAATAACGACTGAGATTGTAATTACAGTTTACAGATCAAAAGATATTGGGAAGCATGAAGAACGGTATTGTCCTTATAGAAATCTTGCTGCAATGTGCCGTTTTTGCTGTACTTCGGTAACACGCATTTTACTCTAAACGTAAATCACAGACATAAAGAAATCAGATGATTATAATATGGGTTAATCTCTTTGAATAAGCTTAAGTTTAACACGTTGCCTGCAGCCATCTTCAGCTGTTTGCGGTTTTCGAAGATTTCTGGGAATTTGTTGTAATGCCTATGATTGAACACCGGAAGATAGACGATTAAAAATACGGGCGTTGGGTGCAAAATTGGGTATAAACAAAAAAAAAAAAAAAAATTACGAAAAGAAAAATAAATTACGTACTAGAATTGTCAAGCGACCGTCGTCCAATCAGCGAAGTTACTTCTTCATGACGTCATTATCGGCGTCACTCCTGTGTAATGAATATGGCCTTTGTAAAAGTCGAATCTATGGAGAAGGTGTTGTTATAGATAACTTGTTCCGGGCAACTTCCGTTGGAATGTTGCGACTTGAACGAGTTTGGACACTAAGGGAATCCGATTTTGCAATTTCCGTGTGTTTTCCTCCGCAAATGGGCAGATGTTTTAAAAGACATCTCTATAAAGTAAATATCGCTTTGGGTTTGCGTGTATGTTTACATAGGCCTGCAGACTTACGCACGCGCAATGTAATCTCTCTTTCTCTTTCTTTCATTATCTATCACTCTCTCACTCCCTATGTCTTTTATTCTTATTTTTCTTTCTTTCTCTCTTTTCGCTGCTTCAGCATTTCTCTATCACTTTCTTTCATTCTTTCACCCTCTCTCTCTTCCAATCTATCTATCTATCTATCTATCTATCTATCTATCTATCTATCTATCTATCACTTTCTCAATCCCTATCTCTTTCTCTCTCTTTATCACTATTTGTCCTTTGTTTGTCTATCACTATCTCTCGTCTTTCTTTCTTTCTTTCTTTCTTTCTTTCTTTCTTTCTTTCTTTACTGCCTCAGCATTTCTCTATCTCTTTCTTTCACCCTTTTACTCCCTCTCTCTCTCTCTCTCTATCTATCTATCTGTCACACTTTCTCACTCGCTATCACTTTCTCTCTCTTTCTCTATCACTATTTGTCTTTCTCTTTCACTATCTCTCTTTCTTTCTTTCGTTCTGTTTTCACTGCATCAGCATTTCTCTATCTCTTTCTTTCACTCTTTCACTCTCTCTCTTTTCCACTTTATCTATCTATCTATCTATCTATCTATCTATCTATCTATCTATCTATCTATTTCTTACTCCCTCTCTTTATATATATATATATATATATATATATATATATATATATATATATATATTAGGATATTAAAAGCAAAAACATGTTAAATATCGCTACACGATTACAATTATATTTCGACACTACAAATGTTCCTCCTACTGGCCTATATATATATATATATATATATATATATATATATATATATATATATATATATATATATATTTCACTATTTGTCTTTTCTCTCGCATTCCCCTCTATCTCTTTCGTTTTATCTATCTTTCAGAAGAGCACATCTCCAAGAAATAATCATTTTTTGGGTTATTTCTTGAAAAGGTCCGTTTTTCTAAACAAGACAAATCAACATAAATCAACAACATAAAAGAATCAGCATAAAATCAACAAAATCAACATAAATCAGTAAAATAAAAAATCAGCATAAAATCAACAAAATCAGCATAAATGAGGAAAATAAAAAAACAGCATAAAATCGACAAAATCAACATAAATGAGGAAAATAAAAAAATCAGCATAAAATCAACAAAATCAACATAAATGAGGAAAATAAAAAAATCAGCATAAAATCAACAAAATCAATATAAATCAGCAAAATAAAAATCAGCAATAAAATCCAAAAAATCAACATAAATTAAAAAAAAATTAAAAGTCAACATAAAATCAAAAAGAAAATCAACAATAATCAAGAAAATCAACATAATCAGCAAAATCAACATAATCAGCAAAATCAATGCTTCTCTCCAAGAAATAACCATTTTTTTTTGCTTATTTCTTGAGGCGGTGCGTTTTTTCTAAAAAAAAAACAACAACAAAAAAAACAGTGCAGACAACGAATATCGAATTATTTTTTTAATTTTCTAAACTTTAGTTTATTTTGTTATGTAAATTCCTTATAAATCGATCCGCCTTGTAAGTCAAAAACATCATTGCAAATTGACTCCACTCCCTATCAAAAAAAAACAAACAATCTCATATCACTTTATGAAGCATATTCTTACTTTTTATCATTTCACACCGGGAATGCCATAAAGCCACTAAAACACAGGGAGTTACTGAGTGTGAGACTTTTGTTTGTGCAGGTAGCAGTAGTGAAAATGACGATTGCTGTACTAACCCTGGTTTTGTGTCTTTGTAGTCAGAACCAACGGCAATAACAAGTGGAGAAACAAAGCGATTGTCACCGTCTCCATCTGGAATTGGCATTTTTAGAAACTTCTTCATAACTTGACTGGATCTCTGTAGATCTCTGCGTTCTCATTTCCTACAATTTTTTCCTTCCGCACCAGATTGTTTCTTCTTTTGTTTGAACACGTGACTCCATTCTTAAAATTTCTGCCTGAAATAAAAGTATATAAAGATCTTGAAGCTAATATGTCTCAAACGGGTGTTTATTGTCAACCAAATGACAGCACCCTGAAGCCTTAGCGCGATAACGCCATGACACTGTTCCACCGTAAATAACACTGTAACAACACCAGAGTGAAGACTGAAATAAACAAAAGGGGTCAATATCAGAATCTATCCTAACTTAACAGCCCAATATACATTGCAATAAAGCATTTTCCCTATATTCTCAGCGGGAGGGCATGGTTTTCTGTAATAAACTTCAAAAAACTTCATTGAGTAGTATTATCATATATTAATAATTAATCTAAAAATGTGGCAGATGGGAATATCAACAATCCACGTTGTAGTTGGAGCCTCCAGTTTGGTTGGAAAAGATTCCAGTAAACTAATTGAAGGGATTCCTGGAAGCCCATGCCTTAAAGAAATACAAAAAATTGTTCTCACGAGTACAGCCCTCACCTTATGAAGGACTTTATGTATGTATAATATGTGGGTTTTTGTTGTTGTTGTTTTTTTTTTTTTTTTGTTATTTTTTTCAGTGGAAAATGTCACGTTATTTCTGAGCTTAGGTCTCTGATCGGGACTCGGAAAGAAATGAGTACACATCAGAAATCAAAATAAATAATAATAATAATAATAATAATAATGATGATGCAGCGAAGGATACAACAAACACCCTGCAAAGCTTTTGCTATAGCTAATGAAAATCAAAATTGTGCCATAAAACACGTGAATCTTTGCGCATCAAAACCCTGTATATGGGAATATACGACACGTTATATCCGACACTGAGTTACAATAAGATCATTATGTCTAAATCTTTTATATATTCATTGAAATGCTATGATCCATCAACTGAGGCCAGATGAGAAGTTAAATGACATGACAAAAGTACACAGGAGTGGGATTTAAGGAAGCTTTATTCAACTGAGAACATAAAGTTCGCGTATAGTGTCCTTTTATAGTCCCAGTAAACAGAAATAGCTCGCTCAAAGAGGAGAGTAACAAAACAAAAGGAGACTACACTTGATTATTCATAACATACATATTTTAGTAAATACCCCGTTTATCTATTAAACAGTATATTTATTTGTTTACCTCTACCGGCCTGAATATTTGATAAATGTTATTAGAGAGAATATGCAAAAGTACGCAGGTGGAGGCTTTAAGAAAGCTTTATTCAACTGAGAATACAAGATTCGCGTATAGTGCCCTTTTATAGTCCCAGTAAACAGAAATAGTTCTATCAAAGAGGGGAGTAACAAAAGAAGGGGAGACCACTCTTGATTACCATTATTATCATTTTACAAAGAAACGCTGGGTTTACCATCCTAGGAATACACCTTAAATCATTAATATAGATAGGCTTTAAATGTGGCCTCAACCGAGGGAAAACAGAATTAAACAACATTTTTTGTTGTTTCTTTATCACGTTTCACGTTTTAGCCGGAATGTGCTTCCGTCCGCACTGCGCATGATCGAAGAACTACTGAGAGCCGTCGCCAAAATAATTCATGATGCGCTGTTAATGAAATAAATATCTGAGGGGCAGTCACAGAAAGGATATTTAGGTAAATAAAAGGATATTCAAGTAAATAAAAAGGACGAAATTTTTAGGTCCTCTTTCACCAGTTTTTGAATTAATTTCCCGACATTTACGCCGATAAATATGTTAAAACTCGGCCTACACTAACCTCACTTGGCCTCCCCTAACCTCACTTGACCTACCCTAACCTCATTTGGCCTACCTTAACCTCACTTGGCCCACCCTAACCTCACTTGGTCTACCCTAACCTCACTTGGCCTATCTTAACCTCACTTGATCTACCCTAACCTCACTTGGCCCACCCTAACCTCACTTGGTCTACCCTAACCTCACTTGGCCCACCCTAACCTCACTTGGCCCACCTTAACCTCACTCGGCCTACCCTAACCTAACTTGACCTACCCTAACCTAACTTGGTCTACCCTAACCTCACTTGGTCTACCCTAACCTCACTTGGCCCACCTTAACCTCACTCGGCCTACCCTAACCTCACTTGGCCTACCCTAACCTCACTTGGCCCACCTTAACCTCACTCGGCCTACCCTACCCTAACTTGACCTACCCTAACCTAACTTCGTCTACCCTAACCTCACTTGGTCTATCCTAACCTCACTTGGCCCACCTTAACCTCACTTGGCCTACCCTAACCTCACTTGGCCTACCCTAACCTCAATTAGCCTACCCTAACTTCACTTGGCCCACCTTAACCTCACTTGGCCTACCTTAACCTCACTTGGCCTACCCTAACCTCACTTGGCCCACCCTAACTTCACTTGACCTACTCTAACCTCACTTGGTCTTAACCTTTTACCACATCAATATAAGTTTGGTTAGATTTTTACACAAGGTTTTTTGGTTAAAATATTGGTGTGGAACACTGCCAGTCCCGGATATAAACTTACCAAAACCCCTGCCGATTTGGCGCCCCATGACAGTGCGACTTCGGGCGATAGTCCCCTCCCTATGTTCCGACACTGGGTATCGCAGATTGACGTCGTCAACAGAAATTGTATTCTTGAGTCATGGTGTCAACAAGACGTCTCACAACTCAAGAACATTTTAGAGGATTGTCTCAGATTAAATGTTGGCAGTATTCTGGAGATTTACAGTCTTAGTCACAATTATAATTTCCCTTAAGCTTTCTTTCAATTTTCTGGGTGGTGTTCCGGTGGTAGCACCCATTTCTACGAGAATCACATTCTATAGCTTTCAAACAGCCTAGTCAGATCTGGGGAGGTATTTTTTCAATCTTTTGATTCGAGGCCACTCTTGTGTCATCGAGAAATGAAAAGTCAATAAACTAACAATTGCTTCTCTCCTTATGTTCCAAAATACAGGTTGGGACATAATGGTGGGACCCATTTTAAAAGCGATTGGATTATAAAAATGACATAGAGTACCAAATATATATATATATATATATATTTAAATAAGTTTTTCGTGGTACAGAATTTAATAATAGATAGGAAAAGCCAATATTTATAAGGCATTTTTAAAAGCTAAAATAAAAACAACCGGTTTCGTCCCAGGATTTATCAAGTTTATTTATTCTGGGAATTTAAAAAAGCGTGTTAATTTTTAATTAACGAATGTAATCGAATGGGGGAAAAATTATGAGTTTCATAAAACTAGTCCAATAATATTGAGACCCAGCAAGCATTCCCTCTGTTTACAAAGGGATCTGATATACAAGGACTCTAGGACCTTGAGATGAAATGTAGAGTGGGACCTGACAAAAATATTCGCCATCGCTGGACCCAAAGGCGAACCCATAGCTACCCCGTCGATCTGCCGATACATAATATTATTAAAACTAAATTCGACAGACGCCGTGGCGAACATCATAAGCTCAACAAATACACCCTCAGGAAAATCCGGAGGAGACAAATAGGTACGATACAATATATCGCAACACATCTCAATAGTCTCAGACAGGGGAACACATGTAAACAGGGAGCAGATATCAAACGAACACATGAACCCACCATAAATAGAAGAATTACGTATAATTTCCACAAAGGAGAAGGAATCTTTAATACAATATGTACTGAAGTGCGACAAAACTGGTTGTAGCACATTCGAGAGCCAACTAGCGACTTTATGCTGGGAAGACCCAATCATAGACAGAATGGGTCGTAAAGGAACACCGTCCTTATGGATTTTAGGTAACCCATACAAA